CTACCAGCAGCTCTACGAGAGAAAGATGAGGCTTCTGTAAAGAGTGACAGTCTCAGAAAGCCTCTGGGACAGTTCTACTCTGTCCTGTAAAGTCCCTAAGTCAGAATCGAATTGATGGCAGTGACTTTTGTTGTTGATTTGTAGTTGATATGGAGACAGACTGCTACCTATTTCTCCTGTAGAGCCGAGGATGCTTACTAACAACCAACCTTGCACTTGACAGCAGAGCGCTTTACCCGCTGCACTACCAGGGCTTCTTTTCTTGCACGGACCAAACCCAAACCAAACCTGCTGCCATCAGATTGACTCTGACTCATCACAACCCTATAAGGCAGCGTAGAACTGCTCCTCAGGGTTTCCAAGGCTGTAACTCTTTCTGGGAGCAGACAATCTTATCTTTCTCCTTCAGAACGGCTGGTGGGTTTGAACCTTGGACCTTTCAGTTATACCGTGCTTATCCCACTGCGCCACCAGGGCTAGTTTTTCCTGCACATTGTTGTTCTGACTCATAGTGACTCTGCACAGGGTTTCCGAGGCTGTAAATCTTTACAGGAGCAGAAAGCCTCATCTTTCTCCCACGGAACAGCTGGTAGTTTCAAACTGCCAACCTTGAGCTTAGCAGCCTGATTCGTAACCACTATGCTACCAGAGCTCCTTAGTAAAGCTAAATCAGAACCGTACACATCTATTAGGATTTAACTAAAAATTCTTAACGACAGGACAGATCTCGTCCATAACCTATATATTGAAGTTGTAGTGCACACATTGAGTGCATTGGGTCTATTATGGATTGTTGTTAAGTGCATTCAACCCTGTAGAGATGGGGTTTTCGAGGCTTTAAATCTTCACAGGAACAGAAAGCCTTGCCTTTCTCCCATTGCATGGCTGGTGAGCTCCAACCACAGACTGTGTGTTTCACAGCCCAGTGCTGATGGTATGACGTCATCGTGATCCTTATTGTGGATGTTGCTGTGAAGTATCTTTTGAGTTGGTTCCAACTCATAGCCACCCTGTATGGAGCATCTGGTGAGCTTGAACCGCTGACCTTGTGGTTCAAACCGACTTTGCAGCCCAGTGCATTAACCCACAATGCCACACCAGGACTCCTATTGTGGCTACTCATCAGAAAAAGAAAAAAATAAATAAATAGCATCCTGTATTTCTGCTTCTTGGAACATCCAGACCCAAAGAAGTACTAAAAAGGA